AGTTTTATTTTTCATGCAGGCTGTGTCAATCAGAGCCAGGGGAGGTGTGGCATGGGCTGCATAAACAGAAACAAAAGTAATTTAACTCCTAAATGGCAGTGAATTGAGAGGCATGATCTATACACTAAAACTGCTTCATTAAGCTAAAGTTGTTAAGGTGACTATAGTGTTCCTTTAAGATATACCGCCAATGAATACATGCATGTAAAAATGCATGTATGTATTAATTAGGGGTATATCTACTAAACATTTGTTTTTTTTGTTGCCAATTTGGGCAGTGGGCTGTCTCTTAAAAATATGTTATCTACAAAGTTCTAGATAAGTAGTATACAGGAATAGAACGAGAGTTCTTGTTTTTTTTTTTTTTTTACTAAAAAAAAATAAAAAAAAATGGTTTCCTAACAGATTCTCTTCTTTGCTTCCAGGTTTTACAATCCTCTCTGTTCACTGTAGCCAACAGAAAAGGTGCTGAAAAGTATTATCCTTGAATAAGGGTACAAAATCTACACACCTTCCGGCACCCTCTTTGCAGTTAGGGCATGTACACGCCACTCTCCTCAGTCTTTTCCCTTCCTGATTTGGTTGGTCCATCTCATCTTCCACAACTTGGACTCTCAGGTGGGTTAAATCATTTGTGTTGACTGTAGAGTCACCAGTAAGGTGCCATTCCTCTGGGTCAGGTTCCTCCTCCTTAATTCGTATCCCTGAAAATTAGACAACATTAAATAAGGCGTGTAAGTGTGAAAACAGTTGTGCGTTGTACTGTCTTAATGAGAATTCAGGAGTATTTTTTATTTATTGGTTCGAATGTTTATGTTCAATAGAAGTTTAGTTATGAAAAGCAGGAATACATATATACAACGGCACAAGAACATTTAGGAAAGGTAAACACCATTAGCAGTGTAAATACATAACAACTGCACTCAGGTTGCTTTTTTGATAGAATAATCAAGTTGTTTAGGTAAACATTACCCAAGAAAACCTACATCAGATATGAATATGTGAACAAGTAGAAATAAGAGTGGGGAAGGATTTTAATCAGATTGATATCTCAGGCCAGTATTTATACTTTTGTAATCAGGAAGTCAGATGAGGACACGATCTCTAGCTAATAGGAAGGTAATTTATGTCTGGATTTATGTCCCTAGTGGCACCTGCAGGAGCAATAACGCTCCGTTAAAAACATGGAATGCCTTTATATTTGATTCAGTTAATTTACAAGGATAACAAACGACAAATACAAAAAATGGATTTGCCAGTGTATGAGTGGGTATGTGACTAAATTGATATGCAAGGTAGTGGCTTACATGGTATGATTGCAACGGCGATTTATCAGGGGTTTGTCTCACTACTATTGCCTGGCTCATAGCTTTTGTACCTGCCTCTTAGTCTATGGAAATGTGTTAAGCCTTAAAATATATTCCACAATTAAAGAGATAAGCCCTTGGTAAATTCAGTTAAAATAGCTCAACTGGAAAAATTCTACAACTCTTCTTGGAGACTTCCTTTCCTAACCTGCTATTTGTCTTCATTTTGCCAGACTGTAACTCACTAACATTCTGAGTTTAGGGAATAACTCTGTAAGCATATGTGAACAGATTGAGAACCACGGGCAAGGTTCTAAAATAGTTGAATTCAACATTTGAGTATTCTAAGAGTTTTACGTTTGTCATATTATACCTTCCAAATAGTATACCTGTCAAGAGATATTGCCTGTAAACGTTCAAACACAAATTGGCGCAGATTGTTTTCTTGAATATTAGTGGTTTTGGCATATACAAAGGGTTATATCACGCCAACCTTTTCACCTTAAAGTTGTGTAGAGACTCACAATATACAATGATTAATCGGGTGCATATATTATATTGTATATTATCAAGTCATTGGAGATGTACTACCCAAACTGTTTTGTTTGATCTGTGCACCAATTAGATGGAAACTGTTAGTTGAGACTTTGTTGCAGTCGTGTGTATGTGTTTTAAGCTCCTTTAAATGAACTTGCTAAAGTTTTTAATTTTTTTAAGTCAATAAGCATAAGTGATCAACTGTGAATTGCAACAGTTATGTTCCTAATATGCAGAACAGCTTCTTCCAACTATTAAAGGCTGCTATAGTTTATTCACAAAATAGACTACGCTACGTATTAACGGATTCTGTGCTTTAGATTATACTATATAGAACTTTATTTTCTTTTTAATTCACACTTCATCTGTATTAACACTCAGCACTCTGTCAAAGGCAGGTAACCTAGTTATAATATGTAATTTTTCAATACCACTGGTAACTGTTTTAGGAGAAAGTTTACGCAGAATAAGGCACAATAACAATCTGACTTCCCATTGACAAAACTGGCTTGGAAAAGGACTTTCCAAGACCAATTTTGTGAATCAGGGAGTTACTGATTGGCTGAGTCAGCTGACCACTCTCAACCAATCAGCAGCTCCCCCTGACCGGGAACTGAAATTTCAGAAGCTGGATGTCACCTGAGGGTGGTTGAGATCACAGCTGGAAGCAACTTTATGCTCCTCCAGCCATTCTGTACCCAAACATCCAGCTAACAAAACAAAGGTTTGTTAATGAAGGAACATTATTTATGTAAATTAGGATGCAACAATTCACCAACAGTCAAAAAGTCTAAATTGAATAAATGTGGACTACATCCTTGTGCCGCATCAATGTCAGCAGCTGGAGACGCTATAAAGACAGATGTACGTGGTCGTATAATAATGTTTTTCCCAAGAAGCTGTAATCTGTTTCCACAGCAACAACTAGAACTCTTATACCCATTAAGTGCGACACTGAGAGTGAGTGTGGGAGTGAGGTATAAGTGGGATATCTAATCTTAAGGCAAAATCTAGCCACACTGTGAACACCCTCAATGAAGCAGGTATGCAGAGCGAGCTTCTGTGATGTCCACTAGCCTTATTATATGCGCTATTTGCAAGCTTACTGGATTACTAAACCAAAATAGAAAGGAGAGAAGTTCAACGAGTTCATGATCTTGACATCCCTAACATCCACTTTGCCTCCAGTTTTAAACAACTGCGCATCACTCTAGATTTCATTTGTGCCTCTATAAAGATTTTCATGGCAATATCTAAATACAGGAAGGTTGACGTTGTTTTAGGGACCAAACCAGTGTTCTGTGTAGTCATGGTGACCTCACATTAAGCTATAGTTCCTGAGCAAGCAGAGGCTGTCATCTTGTTAGCCAACTGCAATTCTCTAACTACTCCAAGATCCTCAGCAACAAAAACAAAGGCCACATAACCCAGGGATCAACAAATCTCAGGCTCCAGGTCACCATGTAGACCAAGAATTTTGCGTCTGGGTGTTTGTCAGCCCATTAAGCGGAGAGAGCATGGAGGCTGCTGAGGATGAATGGAAGTGGGCAGCGAGGGAGGTGTATTTGTTGAGCTCTTCTTGCTCTGCTTCCTTGTAAGTTCTGCTGTTATGCCAGGAGATGACATCACTCTGGCCCCGTCATCATTAAACAGTGCGGGAGGGAGCAGAGCTTGAAGATTACAGGATCACAGCAGCTACAAAATTATTGCTTTTTTGTTTAAGTAGATCTGGTAGACAGCCACTAGAGGTAGAGTTAACCCTGAAAGGTAATTATTGCAGTTTCTTAAAAACTACAAAAACTAGCTTTGCAGGGTTAAGGGACCTGAGACTAAGCACCCAGACTACTTCAATGAGCTAGAGTATTCTGGGCAGTGGCGTACATACCAGGGTCGCAGGGGTTGCGGCTGCGACCGGGCCCGGCCCACCAGGGGGCCCGGCATGTACCCACAGGGCCAGCCTCTTCCCCTGGGGGGCCCAGGAACCGGCCACCTCAGGGCCCCCCGAGGCTGGCCCTGCTGACACCCGGAAGGCGGGTGGCCGCGCGAGGGAGCACTCAGTGCTTCCTCTTAAAGCTACTGCATGCCACTTTTGATACGGAGCGGAATGCAGCGCCTTTTCAGCGAGCATCCTTACAGCAGCGAGAACTGAAAAACACTGAAGTGCCTTGAGAAAAGAGGAGAGGGAGGAGAGGGGAGAGGGAGGAGAGCGGAGAGCGGAGAGGAGAGGGGAGGTGAGGGGAGAGGAGGGGAGGGAGGAGAGGGGAGAGACAGATGAGAGAGAGGAGAGAAGAGAGAGGAGAGAAGGGAGAAAGGGGAGGGGTGGAGGAGAGAGAGAAGGGGAGGGATGAGAGAGGGGAGGGAGGAGAGGGGAGAGGGGGATGAGGGAGGAGAGGGGGATGAGGGAGGAGAGGGAGGTGAGGGGAGAGGAAAGGGGACAGGAGAGAGAGGGGAGGAGAGGGAGGAGAGGGAGGATAGGGGAGAGAAGGGGGAGAGAAGAGAGAGGAGAGGGAGGGAAGAGAGAGGAGAGGAGGGAGAGAGAGAGGGAGAGAGATCAATTTTTGCACCGGGGCCCCATGGGTCATGTGTACGCCACTGAGTCTGGGTGCCTATAGTGTCCATTTAAGTAATATTGCACAACTTGTTTTCCTGGCACTATAGTGTCTTTATGCTCCTCCCCACCCCCCACCCTCATGGCCCCACTCCCACTAGGCTAAAGGGGGAGGAAGGGGTTAAACACTTATCTTTCTCCAGCACCGGGCAAAATCGCCTCCCTCTTCCAACGTCAGGGCTGAATGTGCATGCGCGACAAGAGCACGCATTCAATCAATCCATAGGAAAGCATTTCCCATTTTCACAGTGAGAAGCATGGAAGCGCCTCTAGCGGCTGTCAACGAGAGCCACTAGAGGCTGGATTAACCCTAATGTAAACATAGCGGTTACTCTGAAACCGCTGTTTACAGCTGCAGGGTTAACCGTAGATGGACCTGGCACCCAGATCACTTCATTAAGTTGTAAGTTGTGAGCAAGGATAAGCAATGGCAAAATATCAGAGGCATTAATAGCATTGTTAGGAGCTTGGGGTAGGTAGTGCCTTATTGGCTAGCTATGTGTGGCTGAGAGTTATTTTTGTCCGTGCATGTTTAGGATTGAGTGGCTAGTTATTCGTATGTGTTGTACACAAATGTAACTAGCTTACTAACCAAAACCCTCTGCAATTTATTTTTTTTAAACACTGATCAGTAAAAAACTGAAAACCCAACTGAGAAATTTAGACGTGGCTATAGCCGAGTTATAGAATTTTTCCAAATCCACTGTTGCCTAAATTTTGTAATCTGCTTATCACTAAAGTTATGTCTCTGAATAAACAAATGTTAACTTAATTGTTAGGAAGGTAGGAACAATCTGGAAGACATCACCTAATGAGAAGTTAGAGTTTTGTTTTTTAGAACATGCCATTTTTCTTTTATTATTATTGCCATTTATATAGCGCCAACAGATTCCGTAGCACTTTATATTATTAGAGGGGGGTTTAACTATAAATAGGACAATTACAAGAAAACTTACAGAAACGACAGGTTGAAGAGGGCCCTGCTCAAACGAACTTACAGTCTACGGGAGGTGGGGCACAAAACACATTAGGACAGGAAGTAGCAGTCAAATTAGGTGGGAGTGAAGCAGAGCTAGAGGAGAGAGTAGAGTGCTGCCCTTTAAGAGAGAGCAAGAGACAGGAATGTGAGGTAGAGGTTAGTTTCAGAGGCCATAGGCTTTCCTAAAGAAATGGGTTTTAAGGCACTTCTTAAATGATTGGAGACTAGGGGAGAGTCTGATGGAGGAAGGCAGGCTATTCCATAAGAAGGGAGCTGCCCGCAAGCGCAAGTTGGCCGTACGGGTGCGAGCAGCGGACAGAAGGTGGTCACGGAGAGACCGAGAAGAGGCATACCTATGGATCTGTGAGAACATGTAAGAGGAGCTAAGATTATTCAGTGCTTTATAGGTATGGGTTAGCACTTTGAATTGACTCCTATAGTATACAGGAAGCCAATGTAAGGACTGGCAGAGAGGTGAGGTGTGAGAGGACCGACTAGAGAGGAAAGTCAGTCTGGCGGCAGCATTCATTACAGACTGTAGTGTGGCAATACGGCTATTGGGAAGACAAATTAGGAGAGAGTTACAATAGTCCATGCGAGAGATTACTAGAGCATGGACAAGCTCTTTAGTAGCATCTTGTGTAAGAAAGGGGCGGATGCGGGCGATGTTTTTGAGGTGGAATTGGCATGATTTGACAACAGACTGGATGTGAGGCTCAAAGGTGAGGCCAGAATCAAAAGTAACACCAAGACAACGTGCTTGTAAGGATGGGCTGATGCCCAGATACCACCAATCTGAAGAGAAAGCGAGAGAGGAGGAAAGACCCTGCATCAGGCTATCCTGGCACAACCAGAGCATTTAATGCAAATTCCTTTATCTCCACATGTGTCATGCACGTAGACAATGTAAAGGCATATGCAAACACGTGGAACAAATGC